CCCCAAAACCCCAAAACCCCAAAACCCCAAAACCCCATAAATTCGTGAAAAAGTTGACTGTTAAGTAATAATAAAAATTTAAGATGAATATTCAACGTAAAAATAAGGCTTCAAGCTCATCTAAGAAGGCCTGTGAGGTAGCCTTTTTTAGTGTCAAAACTCAGAGAGTCATAGGCGATCTGGGCCAAAATAAAGGTCAGTCTCTATGCTTGCTTTTATTCTAAATTTGAATGAGCTGGTTTGCTTGCTAACGTATATATTTTTAAGTTTTCCAACTACGTTAATATATTTAGACTGCAAGGATAAGAAAGTCACCTCAAAGTTTGTTGGGAGGAAAGCATCTTATGAAGTTGGAAGAACACTCGAGTTGAAATAATCTAGCAAAGAATGCTCAAGAAACTTGCCCAAAACACAACAAGAAAATTGAAGCTTTTTGTCAAGAACATAACTCTTTATTATGTATTTCGTGAATCTTAAATGAAGATCATAAAACTCATAGTTTACTGAACATTAAGAAAGCTTACAGCCAGCTAATGATAGAATGAGCTCAGAATATCCAAAAGGTTAAGTCAAAGGTTGCTCCAATCCAAGACGCCAAAACAGTCATCAATATGTCAATAGAACAACTTTTGAGAGAAAAAGAATTTCTTGCTCAAGATCTTAGCAAATCTTTTGGGAAAATCATTGACCATATCAAAGAAAAAAAGAAGAAAGCGCTGGAGAATCTCACCCAAGAGTATGAACAATATAATAAGGAGTATATTGATAAGATTAACCAGCTCGAGAGTTCACTTTCTTCTGTAAAGATAATTAAGTCTATCGATCAGTCTTTGAAGGCCTACTCTGAAATAGACTTCATCAAGTGGTTTACGAGCAAGCATAACCCTGTGCAGAAGTTAGTTCAGACTTCAAAGAATGTAGATATGACTATTCCAACTTTCCAGCTTACTTTTGATAAGCAGAAGGAGATTTCTGAATTAGTTAATTTGTTTAATCTGCCAGAAAGTGACAAAAAGAAACCATACCCTAACAACTGCAGTAATGGGATCAAGATAGGAAGAAATTATAGGACATCAAACCCTCCTAGAAATTTAAACAAATGATATTCAGTCGCAGCTTTCTATGAAAATAAGTCTGGAATGAATCCTCAACTGTCTACTTTCGATAGGACTCAGAATCAAGGAAGCCTGAAAGCGAGTCCACTCAAAAATTTAGTGAAGCCCCAAAAGAGTATCTCTAAAGAGTCTAAAACAACTGATAGCACATTTAAGGTTCACAAGAATTCAGGTACTAAATTGATTAAAAATCTCTAGAGCAAAGAACTCATCGTGAAAAGAGCAATATTCTATCCTTCTTGAAAAAGAACAACAAAATGAAGAAAAGCAAGTTAAAGTGAGCAGCAAGGACCAAGATTGACTTGAAAAGTTTAAATTCTAATAAGACATCTACTAACACAAGTTACCTCAACAACTCAATGATTAGCCAGACTTCACCTTATAAGAAGGAGAGGTGAGAGACCACATATGATAATTATGTTACTGAGACTAAACGTGTGGATGACACTTTGGATAAGAATCTAAGCTGTAAGCCTCTTCCTAGATTTTATAGATGATTTGAAGAGCAGAAGCCAATCAAAGCTGAACGGCAAAGCCCAGCCGGTCAGTGACAGTCCTGAGAAAGTCATTAACAGAGCTATAAATATGAATGAAATTAAAAAGAGCAATCAGGAGTTGATTAGAAAGAGCTTGCAAAATTTTGAATCCTCTTTCAGAGATATCCTTGGAGATAAGCATCCTCCCACTCAAATGACAGAGAGATCGGAAAACATTCGTAAATCTCCTGAGAATCTTAAGACAGGGGCATTCATTGGAAAAAGGTTTTCAGCTTCATGTATTGATTACCAGACTAAACGAAACCAGAAATAAAATGCAGAAAACTCAGAATTTATTTCAATATAGAAGCCAAAAAGCTTCAAGAGAAAGATGAGACAATACTGAAAACGGCTTTAAAGCTGATAGAGGACTAAAAGAAGTTAATTCGAATGAGAGAAATATTCGTAAGACAGGTTTTTATTCTGTAGAAATTAATGCAACTAATGGATATAAGGTTAAAATACCTCTAAAATGTGATAGCTATATGAAAGGAGTGGTCAGTATTAGAAAGTCAATGCAGACTTCAAACTCATTTTTATGGTAAGACTTACAGAGATATGTTTAGACAGCATAAGAAGTTGAACACAAGTAACAGAAAGACTTGGAAAAATAATGAGTAGATCGAAATATTATCGATACTAATTCCAACCATGAAGTTTTTGTGAGAAATTCTAATTATGAGTTTAGTCTGTGAGCTTAGATGGCATATCGATAATTCGTGAAATTTAACTACATTAACTCGGCATTTTGGGTTTACTAACATTCTTTTTCAATCAACACCATTTTAACGGATTTCTGTTTCATGTTGAATCATAGAGTCAAGAGTTAAAATTCTTTTTGATTTGTTAGGTCTACCGATTGATTCTTATAATTTGACAAAATATTCAGTGTTCTTTAAACTTTTTAAGGAGAAACTTCAAACTCAATTATACCAAGCTCCCAAAATCTTTTGTATGCTCAGTCTGGAATGAGAAGTATTTTAAACCGTCTTCAGAGTGATGAGAATTCTAATTTTTAAAGAATAACATAGTCTGCATGAAATTCATGATAAATTCTATCTTAAGACAGTATTTTATTTAAATTTAATCTTTAAATTTTATCCTTTCACAATCGTGCATAAGCATTATTCACAAAAAAACAGCAGATTAGATAGTAAAAGAGTTTTCTTGAGTTTGGAGATGTAACTATTAGTGATTAAAGATGCCAGACGTGGAATAAAGTGAAGTAGTAGTACTCCCACTTATAGAATCCACAGTTTTGAATTCAACTCAGCTTAATTCACTTATTTTGATTCTTTCTCGTAATGGAGCTAATATTTAAGTTAAAATTCTTTTAAGTAGTTACATTATCGAATTTAGAATTTATGCTTAGATCCAAGCTACAAACCTCAGTTGAGGATCTCAAATTTATGTATCAGTGCTAATGCTCTTAGATCTGATAATTGTTTTGCAACTAAAAATACAATAGAAAGAACTGAAGTACAGAAAAAAACAATGAAAAGCTCAAGAGCTAATAATTAATTGAAGATTTGGTTGGCAATTAGCTTTAATAAAGCCAATATGGCCAATGTGAAATTTATTTAGCGAAACTCAGTTAACAAATTAACAGTTTGACCAAGGCTACGCTTCCTGGAAAGTGGCTGAAGTCGGTTTTTCTATGCTCGAAAGAATCTTTTATAATTATTTTGGACAATTTTAAGTTATTAATTATAGTCAATATGAAATCAATTACTGACGATTGACACGGGGTTTTGGGGTTTTGGGGTTTTGGGGTTTTGGGG